TGCTTTAGCTACTCGTGCAGTCATCATAGTGCGTACTTAAAGTGGTAATAACATACAGTATTTTAATTCAGGGACATACTGCGTTCATGTCAGCTCTGAAGTTGTTCTGATTCAAACTCAAAACCTCAGCCTTGCCCATAGTCTAAGCTTGGATTTCCCCGTATCCTTTTTCTTCTTTTTAAAAAAAAATTTTAGAGCCAAGTTGAGAAATAATGATTTAGAAATCTGTTTAGAGATAGCTAGGTTAAATAATGATATTTATTTATTTAATGTTATGGTTTATTTATGTGTTTTATTGAAAGTCTTCAAGTGATTCTCATTATAAGACATGCAAATAGTCAGAGAGGTATTTTGACCCCCTTAAAGTTAACAGTGGCTTTTATGGTAGTGAATGGGTGACTGTCTTATGATCCACTTCACCAAATGACCACTGCACAAATAGTTTCAAGGTGGAGAGCTCCTTCGGGTCAATTATCTGCACAGATGGTGTGTAACAGCTTCCAAAGGTTTTGAGGTTATAGCTTGGTCTTTCACCTCATTCTAATTACCCCAGATCATTTGGGCAATCCATTTGAAACCAAATTGGTTTTGATTTCACCCTGTTAGGGTTTTCTGTTTGATTCTTCTGTTAATTTCTTCCAGCAGAAGATGGGAGATGGCACGCCAGGCTGCCTTCTTCATGAAAACTGCTGGGTGGCTCAAGGCATCTTCATCTTGGCTGTTTTTTTTTTTTTTTAAAAGAAGAGGGTGTTTTGTTAAATGCACCTTGAACAACTTCAGGTATTAATTCCCCATATACAAACTTCATTCAGAAGTGCAGTATTTTTCTCTGTCCCTGTTTATGTTAATCAGGATATGTACATGGGCAACCTGGTCTCACACAGTGCAACTTTGGGTCTCTCGCTTTCCCTTCTGCCTATTGTTTCTTCTTCCTGAATTTCCTGAGGAGGTCAGCGTGCTCCACAGAAGTGTGAGAACATAACACTTCTTATTTCCCCAGAGGTTTTGACATGCGTTTCATGGAAAGCTTCGTTTTAGTTTCATGGAACCAGGGGTAAACTAACTTGTAGGAGCTTAACAGAACGCGTATGAAAAAAACAGGTTATTATGGAGGCTGTTGTTCAAAGTGCAAGAAGAATGAACCACAGCATCTACGGTGTAAGATTCGTTAAGCAAAGGTTGCTAGTATGTTGGCTTTACAGATTAAATAAGAATACTGAGTGCTGTATTTTAGGATTTGGGCACCTGAGGCAGTGTTCACAAGCGTTCAGTGACGCTAGCCGGGCTGGAGATCTTACTAACAGCTTCCACAGAGTCAGACCTCTAATGAAAACACACTACACGGCAGTTGCTGATGATACATATCTCCCTCTGTGCAACGACCATTTAATTGACCTTTAACGCTCAGGACTTCACATGCTGAGTTGGTGCCTTCCAGAGCGCGCTTCAGCAGCCTGCACTGAGAGCAGTTTTGTGGGCATCTGTTTAGAAAAATTTGTTAACAAATGGATAAACTGGCGGATGAGTCGAGAGTGCCTCAATCAGAGCAATTTAGTTAATTTCTGTATTTTTGGTATAGCGGACCTACTTTTTTCTTTGAGTAGTGTCTGTCCAGTGCCCTTTTTATGTTGTACTACTAGTGATCATGCACAAAAAGCAGTGCAATGTTAAAAGGGCATTGGCCAGCAATACTGTCTGCGTTACTCATGGCTGTTGTTGGTAGTATCCTTATTGTCAAAAGTCACTATTATATAGCGGAGACCAGAACGTGATTTGCGAAACAACTGTAAAATGGGATTGCTACAATTTGTTTGTTTTGCACTCATTGTTTTCTAGTTATTTGCTAAGGAGAAATGGTAACTGGTCTTTTAACGACAAATACCATCAACTCTGTGCGTGCATTTCCCTAGAAATGAGTGCCCTACAGAGAGGAAAGATCACTGTGTGGTATTCTTATTTGTGTGTTGTAGAGAAGTGCTACGGGTGTGGAGTTGGCTCAGCCAGCCATATCTCTGCACTCCATTCCTCTGGGGCTTTTATATTTTATTGTTAAGGATCGTAGCACCTTCAAACTGTAAGAGTTCTCAAACTTTTTTTATATGAAGTTACTGCTTTTGCTAAAAAGAAACACCTTTACTGAGATTTATGAAATACACCACCACTTTGGTGCTCCAGCATGCGTGTGGTAACCACAGTGGTAATGTACATCCACAGGGTTGGGAAATGAGCGGGTGTTTAAATGTATTTTAAAGTGATTCAGCACCAGCAAATGAGAAGAATAAACTCTGGTGCCCAGAAGTTGTTCCCTGTGTTGCAGTTTAAGATCATCTGTCTGATAATTTAGAATCTTTGCTTGCCATGAGGCAAATCTAAACTAAATAAATAAATTGGGAAAATGTAGTTTCCAGTTAAAAGAAAGACCACCAAATTGTTTGAAATTTATTTTCTGATTGATCTGTTAAGTCGTCTTCTCCCTTTTTTTTTCCTTCGTGGCCACTGGAATGACAGGGATTATGAATAATAATAATGCCTTGAAGTAGGTGAGTTCTTGTGTGTTTGCATCAGGACTTGGTGAACGTTAACCTTACCCAATTCTCCATGATCCACAGAAACCACTATCTGACTCGACCTATTTTTTCCGTTACATATCTTGAGTGCATTGATTACTTGTACAGACTTCTTGCTGCTAACGAATGCTCTGACTTTATTGCACTACTGTACTGTACAGCTAGCAGTGCAATAGTATTGTCAAAGCATCTGAAAGCAGAGTATGCAGCAATGGCTTGAGTCTCGCCTCACAGTTTCTAACGCTTTCTTCTAAGCCTGTGAGTAGATTTACAAATTTACATTAACGAACCGCATTGTATGTGTGATTGTTGTACCGTACTCGTGATACAGGTGGATGGTCCTAACCTAGAACCAAAATCTCATGTTTAGGTGAGATTTTTGCAGGTGTATGTTTACTGAAAACCAGGAAGAAATAAGTATTTATAAAGGAAGGATGGACCACAGTGAGGGAACATGTGATAGTACTTACAAACGTGCTTTGAAATTACTGCTAATAAATTTGTTTCTTTTAGTATACTTTCAGGAGAAAGCAGAGATACTGAACTCTGTTAGTATTTTCATTAAGCACAAAGCTCAAAACGATAGCCACACGATGGATAAGCGTTCAGCTTCACGTTCATTTTTTAATGTCTTGAATGATAGGGGCTTCATGGATAACTTTAAAAGCCACCCATATTCATTGTCTGCTTTCCCAATAAATAATCAGATGGAGAAGTTGGAGAAAAGCAAGAAATTATCTTTTTGGTGTGCCTGCCCCTAGAAATGAAAACCTTAAGTTTGCTAGTGGGGGAGAACAGAAACCACTGAGCAGATAGGAAAAACACCCCGCAACCTCCTTAAAGGAGATAGCGTAACAGAAAGCATTCTATTCTCACATGTTACCGCGACTGGTTTCCGGGCTGGGTGTGGGCAGGAGTTTCCTTGGTCAGCTGGTAAGTTGTGGAAGTAACAGGTGAAAGCTTTCCCTTTGGTGTATAGATGCCCAAGATGGATTTGTTTTCCCTTTCTTCAGCCAGTATTTGACAATGTGCGGAAGGTGTGTATGTATGTGAAAGGTCATACGTGTTCAGGATGTCAGAAAGGGACTTTTATCTTGGATCCAACGCTATTCCTTCAGGCCATGTGAAGTCACAGATCCTCAAAGGGCTTAATAGCAGCTCCTGAAGGTGGATCCCAAGGCTGATGTTGGGAACAAACACTCCTTTGGTACCCAGGCCTAACTCCAGGCTCCATCCAAAACCAGCCGAAGCATCTCACCTCACCTACCCTAACAGCACTGTCAGTACCGGTGGATGCAGCTAACAAACAGAGGTTTATTTGGGTCCTTAAAAAGCTGCTGTGGGTGTTTCAGGGTTCGTCTCATACACATAGTGAAACCCAGGTGAAGTAGGCGACAAGCGTTCTAAACTCGCTTTCATCATTGTCTCTTCTGTGACTGTAAAATCCCCAAATTATTACGTTAAGAAGTTCATGAGTGTTTTGTGAGCTGGGAAAACTGCCTTTCTTTAAAGTGGAGGTCCTTAATAGATACTAAAATTGCAGACTAAAATTAATTAAGTAATAATGCTATCAGCAGACTGTTCTACAAGACAATTAGATAATTCTCTGGTGGCTTATTTATCCCAAGGAAAGAGATGTGATGTCATCAATTTTATTATCTATTTATCGTTCTGGTTTATTGGGGAATAATAAAATGTGTTATGGGTATTACAACCATCTGAGAGAATGCATCCCTAACATAATTAATAATGAAATTTCCTCTGATGTGCCTGGATCCTAAACACTTATTCGTAACGTCTGCTGTGTGAATAACGGCGTATTGCAGTTTTGCTAGCAGAAGTTTGAAAAGAAAATCAACTAGCCAAGGAAAAGCTTTAACAATTAATGGAAAATGTGTCAATATCTCAGGAGGGAAAAAAAAAAATCAAACATCCGCATCAAGGGAAGATCATTTTTAAAAAGATGCATGTTCTTTTCTATTGACATAACTTACCTCTTTGGCGTACTTCTTAAAAACTTCATCATTGCAAGGAAGATGGATGATAATCTTGGCAGAGATGGGAATGGTGTTACGCATTTTGGGGAGCTGCATGAAAAAGGTACTAATGGCAAGATGCAAAGAGAACAACTGGGTAATTTGGCTTAGACAAAGTGTGTGTACACACACTTAATTCTTACACGTGAGGGGAAATGGTTAAGTCTGAAAATTTATTACTTTATATTTTTCAGACTAGAATGTGAGGATAATTGGCAAACTCTAGCTAATGGAATAGATTATAGGAATAGAAATCTAATTTATATTACATGAGCCTTGAAAACGGAGGCATCTGGCTTCTGCTCTTCTGAAATACAGGAAAGGCAAATGGTTGGGTTTTGTCTGCAATTTCTGTTTTTTAATGCACTGTATCTGATTTTAAATATTTTAGTTCCAGAAGGCAGAATCTGATCTGGATTATATTCAACACAGACTGGAGTTTGAAATAATGAAAAGTCTTCCTGATAATTCAGCAGCAGAGGTAGTATTTTCAGATTAAATTAATAGATTTTAATGCGTTTTGTGTGACATTGGTAATAAATGAGTAATTTTCTTTAATCCTGAGATGTATGTGGTGGCTCTCTTATCTAGTTGTTAGGTTTTTATTGTTAAGTATTTCTTGCATCATATATCAAGATAACTGGCCTAATTTGAATTCAGTGCAGAAACGAACAAAGCTTCCTTAATTTTTTAGCTTAGTGAAATTCTTCTGTGTTTTGCTTTGACAAATATGTAGTAGTGTTAACACCTAAATTTGAGACACATTCCAATTTGAGCTAAAACATAAAAGGTAAACTCACTAATAAGCAGTGACTAAATTCAGATTTGGGGGAAAGATGAGAGGAAAACAGTAAATGGCAGCATGTAAAGGATTTTATAAGTAAGTCCTTGTCTCCATGTATATTGTGATGTAGAGTGAGTAAAGAAATCTTTTTATTAGCAGTCCCTAATCTATTCCAACTCAGAAAAGCCATTAAAATTCAACAACATGATAAATTCATCCTCCTGTATTTGTTGTAGAACCACAGATTTCTACTGTTTTATTAACACTATCTATCATTTTTGCTTATGAAAAATTAAATGTATCAATGGAACATGCTCACAGCCACGCTCTTCACTGTAAAGGGTCATTTCATGTTATATGTTAGTGGCTCTAACGCCTACGCTTTTAGTTTGTATGTGGCCACATTAGTTTTCTCTTCTTAAATTGTTTAAATGTACTTTTAATTTCTACGTAGGAAAATCCAATTGCTCTTCTGGAAGAACTCTCAGTGGTGAAATCTCGTTATGAAAAGTTATGTATGCGGCTGGAAGAAATTTCCAGAGATCAGAGAGAGTCCATGAAGGCCATCTGTGCTGGTCTGGAGAGCACAATGATGACAGTTCGGGTATTGCACCAACTTCATGGTCTGGAGGTAGTATTTTCATTTTAGTCACTCGAGTCCCACCCCTGCGAATGAATGTGTATTTGGGTAACCTTGACACGGATGTGAGTAGTTCCACTGGAGACGTTTATACGTGCAGACTCTGAGAAGATAAGAAGACTGTACCTGAATTAATGTTTGCAAGATTGGAGCTCATTACTCAACAGTCAAGCTAGTGGTATTCAGTTTTGGAGTTGAAAACCACAGTAGTATGAATAGTGTGACACACGTTTGAATAGTTTATAGAAACGGTTGCCTCTGTGCACCGCTGTGTCCCAATTCTATACTGACCTTTCCTTAAAAGTAGCCACCTTGAAGAAATTAGTGAAACCAATTTTAAAAGGCAAAAAAGCTTTTAAGGGGTAAATGTGTTTTCCTTCTCTAAAGTGAGTAACTTAAAACAACACGTTGTATCATATGTGGTTGAAATGCTGTTACTGCTAAGAAATAAGTTTTTCTCAGTATGATAATGCCTGTCTATTAAAAATAACCCAACAACACATTTTCACAAGAGTTCTTCAGGCACTGCTTCATTAGTGTTTTGAAGAGGTGGTGAAAGCTTTAATTTTGTCCCTTTACAGATAAGGTGATTTAGATCAAAAAAGCTAATTGATAGTCTGGTGGCAAAGACACAACTAGTGTGACTAAAACGTATTCCCAGATCTCAGCTCTCACTTAGTGTTGTAATGACAGTGCCCCAAGATCGTGTTTAATCTGTCAAAAGCTCTGGACAAGTAACTGCTAAGTCTTTATAGATAGAATATAATGTATAATGATTTAAAAGACAGTAGTTATGACGCAGAAAGCAAAAAAATATTTTCTCTCCCGGTGTTCTAAGGCTGTGCTGCCAAGAATGCCTTCATATATGAATTTTGGTGAAGTGCAAGACTCTTGTCTCTTGAGTTCTATTTAGACCTTTTAGATAAAGATTTTCTTGTACTTTGTGTATTTCCTAAACCAAAGATAGATTAAACTGTAGCGGAGAAAAGTTAACTGTTTAGGTGAAATACTTTTTATTGAATAAATTATCTACTTTCTGTGGAATCATTTATAGTATTGATGTTAAAAGAGTATTATTGTGGGATTTTTCAGAAATACTTATCTTGTAAATCTGCTTTAGGAGTCTTTTATTAGTTACCATGAGAAAAGGGCTACACAAACATCGAGTTCTTCTGCAAATAGCATCACACTAGGAACTGAAAGTATCTGAGTTCTCGTTTGTTTGTTTGTTTGTTTGTTCCTAGGACCTACCTCTGACAAACGAACAGGCGGCAGCACTGCAGTTAACACGCCAAACTGTGAAGAAACAGAATCACTAGTGCAAAAGGTAATTAGGCCACAGAGTGTCAGTATTCCAGAAACCGTTAACCCTGAATAGCTCAACTGAAGTCAGAAAGGCTCTTTTTGTGACTTAATACCTGTCAAATGGATGGAACTTTTCAGAAATGAGCTAAAGTTTCAAACTAACATTTTTATTGTATACTGATTAAGTTTATGATTTGTTCCAATTAAATTGTCCACAAAGGAAAAATTTGCATTGATGGAAGACTTTGTTCCCCTTATTTTTTGATTGGATGTGTTTATGTTTCTTTTCAGAGATGCAGTTGGTTGCTCTTGTTGATCCTATTCTGCTAACTCTTTATATAAGAAGCCTTTGGGTGGGAGTGAAGAATGTAATTGATTCAAACCAATGTGTATCAAAATGGAGAGAAATTTAATTTCCTGTAAAATACTAAATAAATGTTGGAATATGGGTAACAAGTACTTTCCAACTGTAATGCTGTAGAACATGGATCCCAACTAATTCTTGTTAAAGTCACATATTCTCCCATAACTACTCAAAGCACAAACTTCTGATATAATTATCTGCAAAGATTTGGTCTCATATTAAAGTTTGAGTGATCTCCCCCCACACCCCTAGCCCCCATAAGTAAGCTTTGTGCATAGTATCAATCTCTCAAGACTTCCATCTCTAATATTGGGCTCTAATAATTCTGTACTACATAAACATATCAAGTTACTATCTAGAATTCAGGGAGTAATGAATCAAACTGGTTTACTTTCTGAAGAAGGCAGATACTGTAAATAACTGCAGCTGACGAGAAGAGGCTGTGTTGCCCCTAGTACAACAGGGGCGCCTCTCGCAGTAAGCATGTAGGGAATGCTGAGGCTGGGTATGGTTTCTGAGCTCTGTCATTTAAAAACCATAGAGCCTATGCTGCTCAGCAAATTTGCTGATTTCACTCTCAAGCACTGGTAGCTACGGCTTTTATGTGAAGAATTTAGACTTTAGTATCTGACCCCATAGTTACATTCCATGTAGTTCCCATGTGTCTGGGAGTTTTTCTTGCTTTTGACAGGATTGAAGTGGATACTGTTGTACTGATGGTCTGTAAGAAATGGTGTACTAGTCCTACCCTAGAAACAGGTCTTGTTTAATCCATTTCTCCCTACTTAGAGAAAGGAATTTTCCCAGTTAAAAAAAGAAAAAAACCAACAAATAAACCCAAACATACTGACAGACCAAACTTATTAATCTACACCAGATCTCAAATATGTTTTCCCTGCATCTCCAGACAGTTTGGAGAGGGTGTATCTTCCTTCTTTCCTTCCTCTTGCTGGAAAATCTTCCTGTAGTTTCATTTAGTGAGTTTCTTAAAAAGCAATGAAAGTACTTTCTGTCTTTGGCCCAATTTATGAATAAATAAGTATCTTCTAGTTCCAATTTTTTAGACTCACAATTCAAACCACTGACTGAGGAATACTTACAACTGTACCAAGGAGTATCAGAAGTACTGTTAAACTAGCAGACTTGAACAATTTGTACAGGGAGTTATTTAACCACTTAATTGTAAATAGGAACAAGTAAGACTTAAAGCCATTCCTTAGCAAGAATTTTATAAGCTGTAAAGAAATTCAACCTTTTAAAATTAAACAAAAACAGCTAACCATTTGCTGCTATATTATAACTTCATAATTTGATTTCATTCCCCTACACCCTTCTTGGGTAGGTACACACCCCAAAGTGTTAGGCCATCATACAAAAACCCCTACGTTAATTTGTATAAAACTTAACTCGATGATTTTCAAAGCTGCATGTCAGGTTCATCAGAAACAGCTTTTTTCTCTTTGGTTTCACTGTACAGATATTCAAACCTGGGTCTATTCAGGGAAGTTTTGCTGACATAGTCTTACCGCCAAACCCTTTTAGCTCTCAAAATCTGCATCCAGACTGGAAAAGCAAAGCCCTAATGCTAAACCATGACCCCCAAACGCTGCCCTCCGTGTGCCAACCCCTCCTGCCTCCCCGGGCTCTGACCCCTCTCTGGGCTGGGGATTTTGTGCAGGCTGATGTTAAAAATAAGGACGGTTTTAATTCAGGAATTCTGTCTCTTTAACCCTAAGGTTGGATCAGCAAATGACTGTTCTCAGGTTGAAGTAGCACAGAAAAATTGACAGCAGTCTGAATAGGCGTGAGATGTACAGTGCACTCACAAAATTCATTCAGTAAACAGTGTGTGCTTTTTAGCTTTTTGCTTCCAAACCTTATGTTTGATAGCCTGTTTTGCTAAATTGCTTGCTTTTGTCTTACAGAGCAGCACTGAGCATTTTGCAGCTGAACGATATGAAAGCCACTGACTCAAACATACGATTCCTGAAAGCTCCTGTGGAACTTGACAAACAAGGAAATGTTAAATTAGTTGTGTAAATGAAGCTCAGTACATTCTCATTTGACACACCAGCATCTTCATCATAGCTCCTGGAGTATTTTAACAAACAAGTATTTGTGTGGGTTCTAGGAGTTAAAGCCCACTGTTGGAAAGCTGCTGCTGTTTCTGTATACAAATTCTACCTAAAATACTTAACGTTGGAGAGTTAAAAAACATCGAGGTTGGTATTTTATCTAGGATATTTTTGACAAGTATTGTATGTGACACTTCCGTATTCTTGCCTACATTCCTGGGTGGGTTTTTAAGACAAATAACCAAAGCCATTAATTGTACGTACATTCCTGAATAAATGTTGAAAGCTGAGGGAACGAGGTCATAGATTTATTATGCTTTTGTTTACGTGACTCCTGACCCTGAGCCCTGCCCTAACCCCTGAACCCAGTCCTTGATCCTTTTATTTTTCCTTTGATGTAAACTGTCTTGAGTTTTACAGTCCAGCAAAATTGCAGCCTCACAGAATAGCTGAGGTTGGGAGGGACCTCTGGAGTTGTCCAGTCCAACTCCCTGCTCAGAGGAGGGCCAACTACAGCAGGTTGCTCAGCACAGTGTCCTGAAAAGCTCCAAGGATGAAGACTTCACAACCCCTCTGGGCACCCTGTTGCAGTGTTCGACCACCCTCATAGTAAAAAAAAAAATGGTGTTTTGTTTTATGTTTATTTGAGCCTTATTTGAGAGAGTAAGGTATTTGTGGGTTTATGAAGTTCTTACTTTTTTTTTTTGTGATGGCTGTCAAAGAAGAGAAGTTTAAATTGACGCTCGTAGGAAGGGAAGGGCTGACCTCTGCACTCATCAATGAGCTGGTTGATCTATTTAGGGGTTATCGTGTATCGAAGAGGGGGAAGAAGAGGCAGGGATAACTTAATTTTATGATGTCCTCTGCTCGGGGTGCCCTTTTACCTACAAGGTTGCTATCACTTCACAAACTGATTTAATATTTAAGCATTTAGACTTAATCAAATGGATGACTTTAAACACAAGACTTGATCCTTACTCCGCTACTTTAATGATTTAATTTTTTAGTGAAATCTGGCCAAAATAATTAAAGGTACATGTTAGCGGGAAAACAACTGCATCTAAGGTTGTGCAGAGATTAAGTTAGCTGCAGCCTTGAGGACTGTTACGGTGTCCGTTTCCAAGGCCATGTGAGGTGCTGGTATAGATCCCTCCCTGTGGCTGGATCCTGTTTGGCGCTCTCTTGCTCACGCTTACTCCTGAAACCTGTCGTCAGCACTGACAAACGGAGTGGAAAGCTTTTTGTCTGGAAACCCAACAGCTGCAAATTCCTCCGAGAAAGCCACTGTCTCTCTCGTGTTAACCTGCATTCGGTGCTGTGCTGCTGCTGCCGCCACAGTGGCGGGCGGCTGTGCTCCATATTCGGCGGCTGCCGACTCGGCAGTTCTCCCCGCTGAGCTGCCGAACCCGGTGAGCCCCCAGCTCCCCCGGCCTTCAGAGCCTCGCCGGAACGGCACCACGGTGCCCCGGGCAGTGACCAGCATTCGGTTTTGGGCCCCTCACTCCAGGAAG